CAAAATACTCTGGACTCCCTTCCCCCCTCCCCTGCCTCCCACACCGGGCAGCGCCGAAAAACGCTGGACGGAGATTTCTGGCCTCCATCTGTGCCCGAGTGAAAACACCGACGGAGTACTGGGGTGAAACAATGTCACGCTTCACTCCTGTTGTTACCCTGGAGAAACATGTCTCTGCTGAAAGTGAAACCGAGAGCTGGCGCTGGGCCTGATAACAGCCTGGGCAGGGGAGGCTCCGGCGCCGTGGGGCAGGATGCCCTGCCTGCTCCCCAGCTGGGGCCACACAGGTAATCTAGAGCCCGCGTCGGCGTGGTGCTGTGGAGGTGGGCACGGAGCCCTCTTCACGCAGGTCTCCTCGGAAGCGGAGCCGGGCGGAGGCGTGTGGAAGGTCCTCTGGCTGGTTTGAGCTTCCCTAAGACGGGCGCAGCGCCGAAGCGGGGGGATGTTGCAGGCATTTTCCCCGACGGAAGCGCGTCGTGGGGTCATTCGGGGCACTGACGCCGGTCAGCGGGTGGGGAAGGCTGTACTGCGCCGATCTGGCTGGCATTGCTTCCGAGCCAAGTGCTGTAAACCCAGAAGACTCAGTTAAGACAGGTAAGTAATCAAACCACGGCAAGGTAGGGCAGCTTCCAGGTTTAACGCAGCCAAACAGCTGGAAATCTATCTCATGGTGTTATCGTCGAAGGAAAACCTTTAGAAGTCTCCTTTTTTTAAAATCCATTTAATCTACTTGGCCATTGCAAACACTACAAAACACCTTAATCATAATCGCTTATATCCTGCACCGATTTTTTTTTTAATAGAGTGAAAATCAAGGCTTCTGCTGACTGAGAAACTTCAAGTTACAGAGAAAACCGAGTTGGAGGTGGGGTGGGGAACCTTGGGGATATTCATGATAAAAATGTGTTCGGGTGTCGTACAGAGAACGATTGCAGGGCCGCAGCATCTCGCTGGGGAGCTCGGCGCTTTAGTGCCCGAGGCTGTGGGGTGCACGTCGCCCAACCGATAGGAAACAGCCCTCTCTGGACGGTGTTATGGGTTTGCGGGGCAAGGTTTTGGTAGTGGGGGGGCTGTAGGGGTGGCTTATGTGAGAAGCTGCGAGAAGCTTCCCCCACGTCTGATAAAGCCAGTGCCAGCCGGCTGTAAGACGGACCCACCGCTGTCCAGGGCCAGGCCAGTCAGCGACGGTGGCAGCGCCTCTGTGGTAACATGTTTAAGTAAGGGAACAAAGGAAAACTCTGCAGTGAAACAGCGGTGTAGAGAGAGGAGTGAGACGATGTGAGAGAAACAACTCTGCAGACACCGAGGTCAGTGAAGAAGGAGGGGGAGGAGACACCAGAGCAGAGAGCCTTCCCTTGCAGCTCGTGATGAAGACCATGGTGAGGCAGGCTGTCCCCCTGCAGCCCATGGAGGTCCATGGAGGTGCAGATATCCACCTGCAGCCCGTGGAAGGGACCCCACGCCAGAGCAGGTGGATGCCTGAAGGAAGCTGTGACCCCATGGAGAGGCCATGCTGGAGCAGGCTCTTGGCAGGACCTGCGGACCCCTGGAGAGAGGAGCCCACGCTGGAGCAGGTTTGCTGGCAGGGCTGGGGACCACGTGGGGGGCCCACGCTGGGGCCG